TCCTTATAACTAAGGCACAAAAATGTGCTTTTTCTCTCTTTGTCTCTCTCTTTCTCAAAATGACAAATATGGAAATGTATTATATGACTGCACATGTAGAACCTTATATCAGATTACTTACTGTTTCTGGGAGAGGGGAGGGGTAGAATTTGGAGCTCAAAACTTAAAAAAAAACCCAGCAAATGTCAAAAATTGTTTTTACATATAACCAATTACATGTAAAATAAAAGAAAATATTTAAAACTAAAAAAGAGTGTTTCAAATACCTTTCAGATACCAAATCTCACCAAAAAATTTTAATAATATTAAGCTGGGACATTTACTTTATATGAAAGAATCTCATATCTATTTTTGCTGCCTAATGGTGCTTAATAAGCCAGTAGGAAACAGAGGTAAACTTGATTTGTGAAGGGTCAGCTAGTGACTTTGGAAGTTACGTAATCAAGCTGGAAAGACAGCAAGATGCTGTCATCTAAGAATCCACCAAGCTAAATGAAGAGAAGCTTTGTCACTAGAAGATTGGCCACCAGGCATAGAATTTTCCTCCCTCAGCAACTCCTGATATTAACTAAGCCTTGGAGGAGTTGTGATCAGCAGTGGTGGGAGGAACAGAACCTAGGATTAAAATCTTGGCTCTCTAGAAGAGACACAAATCCTTGAAAAACAAGTAGTTCTTTGCCATTTAGAAGATAGTTCTTGCATTATTGTGCAAATAAGATTTATTTACACAATTAAAACCTTCCATGCAGGTCTGTGATGCTAACTAGCCTGTCATGTTGAACTGTGGGACCAGAGGAAAAGGAAACAAAAAAGGAAAACATTTTCATTTGAATAAGAGGGATGCACTAGTAACTGATGTTTCTTTTTCAGAAAACTTGACCAGGATACGTAATATGTATCAAATTATATAAATATTTCATTTTTTTGAAAATATGCTATATTTATTTTGAGAGGCAGCTGAGGCAGAATGGATAGCAGGACAGCCTTGAAGTAAGGAAGGCTTCAGTTCAAGATCTACTTCTGACATAGACTTGCTGTACTTTGGGGAAAGTCATTTAGTCTCTTAGTTTCTCTAGGTGACTCTAAGTCTGCTAAGTCCAAGCAGAGTGGTACAGTGGAAAGAGCAATAACTCTGGAATCAGAGGACCTGGGTTCAATTCCACCTTTGATGCTTATTACCTATGTGACCGTGGCAAATCACTTCATTTCCTTGAATCTCAGTTTCCTTCCTCATCTGTAAAATAGAGTTTGGACTAGCTAACCTCTGAGATCCCTTGCAACTTTAGATCTATAATCTTAAATTATAGACTAGTTGTTGATCTGCATCCAGGAAGTGAGTTTTCATACTGTGAATTCCCCCACACCAAGCAAATCCTAAGTGTGGAATGAAAAAAACCACATATGTAGAGATATAGAAAATATATACATTATACAGATAGCACACATCATACATGTGTATTTGTAACATCACATTACATATAATTTTGGGGGGTCCATACCTATGATTTCCTTTGTGTAGGGAAATTCACAATATGGAAACTTTCCATGGATGCGGATCATCTTGTCTGTCACACACACACACACACACACCCCTGAGAGACCTAAATGTTACATGAGTAAACAAGAACATAAATTAAAAGTGTCATTTATTTTCCCTGAGCTTTATATATTGGCATTTTCTTTCCTTAAATCATTATATTTATAAATTAGCACTTTTACTGTACTTCCTGACTTTTCTTCCACTGAGGAAACACAGGAATACATGAATACCAAATACCATTTCCACATTGTAATAGTGTTAATTCTTCCTTTTACATATAGCACCACTTTTCTTTTGGTCTTCTCTTTAAATGCTTCTCCCTTATACCTGGCTTAAGATGAAGTCTGTTCCTGAGCCACCATTGGTTGCTGGAACAGAGACATTACTATATTGTTTAAAAAAAAAACAAACCACAGTGTTCCTGCCAGTTAAGCAGAGCAGCAGTAATGCAACTGAGAGGATTGTAACTAGTACAAGGTCATTGGCTGGCTCTTTTTGTTCATTGTCCCATTTTCTCTCCAACTTCACTCAATTTGATAATGGAGTGTGATCACCAGACTTCAACTTAAGGCTACCTCTGGACTGAAGTAAGCAAAACTTGTCTTCAGTATCCTTCCATCCACTTCTCTATGTTCTTTCTTCTTGCTCCTAATGCCCAGAGGCTCAGTGTCTACATGCTTCCACCTGGTTGGCTCACCACCAATCTTTAAGGCTGCATTCTGACATCCCACCTGGTCCTACAATCCTGCCTTTTCAGTCTTCTTATACATTACTCCCCTCAACTTTATAGTCATACTTGCCTACTTGATATTCTTTACACAGAACTTTCCATCACTTGTGTCTCTGCCGTTTTATTGGCTGTTTCCCATATCTGGAATGCACTCTCTTTTCATTTCCACGTTTAAGATTTAGCTCAAACTCCATTCTCTGCTAGAAGCCTTTCTTGATCCCCCCCCCAAGTCGATTGTGCCCTTCCTACCAAAACCACTTTGTATTTATTTGGTATGTATTATATATCTACATATTGTCTCTCCTATTAGAGGTTGAGAGACTATTTTAGTTTTGTCAGTGTATCCTCAGTGTTTAGTACAGTGTCTGGCACATGGTGATACTGATTGATCATTCCAAACCAAATTCTGCTTAGATCATCTATCTTAACCTCTCTTATTTTACAAACAAATAAATTGAAGCCCTGAGAGGTTACAAGTAACAAATTTGCACAGTTAATAGCAAAGCCAGGACTAGAGTTCAGGTCTTTTTGTCCATTGTGTCATTCTCTCTCCAATCTCACTCAGTTTAAGTGAATCTCATCCAAGGTGTTAATAGCTAATAACAGCTTTCCCAGATAGCATTTGCATCTTAACAGCAGCCTTCCATGTTTTATCTCAAAACTGACCATTACTAACTACAGACATTTTAGGCAAAATTATAGGAGCTCTGCGAATAAATGCCCAAACATTCCTTTGTGGCTTTATCACTTATGGGTTCAGCTCAGCTCATTCATATATTGCCTTTTGCCTATTGGATTTCTAAAGCCCTTAAAACATTCATGAGAAAACCTTTTCAGTAGTTACTGGAGGAAGTCAGTAATTTCACCACCGAAATGGGGCTGTCATAATGAAATTCACTGACTACCACACAGTAGATATGAGCACTTCAGGTTATAGCAAGGACCTCCTGCTTTAGCTAAGTGCAGTTAAATCCACAGATCATAATTGCCCAAACAGGAGCTTTAATAGTTTTCAGGAATTAGGTATCCAAAAATTTTGTCCATAGGGTTTATAAATATCAAAATAATAACAATAATAAATTTACATTAAGCCATAAATTTGGGATTAGCCCCAGGTTAAATAACTCCTTAGACTTAGAGCAATCTATTTGCCCAGTGATCTAGGGGAGCTAGAGAGTAGCTTGTAGTTTTTACATTTTTTTAAAACAATTTCAGATGAAGAAGTAACTTTCTTCTCTTGAGAACTCTGATACCAAATGAGCTGGCAACTTGGAAATTTGCCCAGGCAAATTTAGCCCTCTAGGCAAGAATCAAAATCTTCTTTGGAGATGGGTGGGTAGAGGAGACCTTGGAGATATCTCTTCCTGCCTTCCTGAGAGCCACATCTAGATACTCACATGAACATATGTAACCTACGTGGGCAACACACACACCCCCTACAGACAGAACTAACTGAACCTCACTATTGACTGAATATAAGAGTGAAGGAGAGGAAAGAGTAAAGGTTATGATCCTGGGTGGCTGGAAGGATTGTGGTACCCTTAATAGATATAGCAAAATTAGGAAGGGGGGGGAAGATAATGAATATTTTGTGAACCTGGAAGCAGGGATAAGGTGGAGTGAATGAACTAAAAACTATAATTCTCGAATAGACAGCTCTCCTGCTCAATAATGAATACTTAGGCACAACCTTAGCCATACATTCATTCAATAAGAATTTATTGAATTTTGTTGAATACTATGTATCAGGAACTGTACTAGGCAATGAGGAAAAAAAGAAGCTTGTATTCTTTTGGAGAGAACCTTCAATACACAGATAAATACATATAAAATATACATAAAATAGATATAAAGTAATTTTTGAGGGGTTTAGAGGGAGGGCACTAGAAAACTAGAGAGAATGAGGATAGGCCTGCTTAGGAGGTGATACTAAAGCTAAACTTGAAGGAAACCATAGATTGTCAGAAATGGAGAGGGTACATTCCCAGTAATGAGAGACAGGTGGCCCAGTGGATACTGTGCAGGGACCGGAGTCAAGCAGCCTCGTCTTCTGGAGTCAATCGGACTCATCTTCGTGAGTTCAAATCTGGCCTCAGGCACTTACTAGCTGTGTGACATTGAGCAAGTCACTTAACCATGTTTACCTCAGTTTCCTCATTTGTAAAATGAGCTGGAGAAGTGGCAAACCACTCCAGTATCTCTGCAAAAAACAAACACAAAACCCATATGGGGTCACAAAGAGTCAGACACGACTGAAAAACGATTGAACACGAACACAGGCAAAATAACTATATGGTAATTTTTTGGGAGGGAAGGCACTAACGATTGAGGAGGTAATGTGGCAGAACTTGAGATCCGAGGTCTTTCCCACTTGGGGGACTCTCTAAAAGTTTATTTAATGATAATGCGTTTCTTGAATGAATGAATGACGCAATCTAGAGATACTATAGCAGAGAGAGCGTGCTTGCTGCCCCCAGCTTTCCCGCGGGACGAGTCACTTGACTGGAGCGGGTCGGTCGCGTTCCTCCAGCCTCACCGCGAGCCTGGCGGCGCATGCGCGCTGCCTGCTGTGGGACTGGAGACGGGGAAGGAGGCAGCGCGCTGACAGCTTCCGCTTTCGTTTCCTGTCTTCGCCGACTTGGGTGACGGCCCCAGCGGGCTCTTGGGCGGCGGCGGCGGCTGCGGGGGGCCGGGAAGCTCGCGGGCCGGGGTGGGGTGTGGTGCGGTGCGGTGAGGTGCGGTGCGACCTGAGCGGGCCTCCTCGGGAGCCATGGCCTGCTCCCTGCTCCAGTTCTGCCACTTTCAGGACCTCCAGGCCGCCCGGGACTTCCTCTTCCCGCACCTGCGGGAGGAGACCCCCAGCGGCGGCGCCGCCCGCAGGGACGATGGTAAGCCCCTCCCTTCCTCACCCCGGCCGGGGGTCGCAGCCCACTCCCTCCCACCCCAGCCTTGAGTCCCTGGAGGCCCGCGCACCTCTCTGGCCTGTCCCGGAGGAGGCCAGTCTCGTAGCTCCCTGTTAGTCAAGAAGCAAACATTAATTAAGCACCTTGTGTATACCAGGCACTGAACTGAGGATACAAAGAAATAAAAATGTCCTGTGCTCTGAAGGAGCGCACAGTCTAACGAAGGAGACAACATGCAAACAACTGTCCAAGCAAGAGACGGTCAGGGTAGACGGGTGGCAATCCCGGAGGGAAGGAAAGGCCTCTTGCAGAAGGTCGGATCCAAGCCGAGGCTTGGAGGCGAGGAGGGAGAGCATTCCACGAGTGGGGGCCCTTCTCTCCTCCGGCGCTCTGTCCGTCCTCGCCTTCCTAAAACTGCGTCTCCCTCCATCTCCCCTTTCACCCTCCCCCTTCCCAGACCCAGGAGTCCATCTCCCTCAGTCTCCCTCCCGCCCCATCGAAATTCAGGGGGTCCCCTTCCTTTCCCCTTCCTATTTTCATCCTCCTCCCAACTCAGCACCAGCTGTCACCGGTCCTATCTCTGCCGAGGCACCAACTCCATCCTGGGCTTTCCACCTTCCTTCCTTCTTTCTCAACTTCAGATGCCACAAACCTGCAGAAAGCTGTTTGGTGACTTAATCCTGAAGCGAATTTGCTTCTCCTCGTGTGCAAAGCAGCTAACCTTTCCAAGCAAGATTTTCAGGTTAATATTCAGGTTGATATTTTTATATCTGCTGGTAATTTGTATCTTGTCTTGGAAAAGCAAATTTGCCCCGGGTGAGATGATTTGTTATCATTATTATCCTCAAGTAATTTTAAATTAGCACCCACATGAACATAATATTAAATTCTAGAGACTAACAGGGTTAGGGCAGATTTTGGACTTAGTATTATATTATATTATTGTTAAAACAATTTGAAGTTTACCCTTTCCTCCATTCTCTAAAAGATGCAATGATTATCAGAATTCCCCATGTTTCTTAGAGAAGAGAGTATGCTTTACCCTAATTATGTTCTCATGTTTCCAGTTACAAGTATTTTTGGCTTGTAGTATGGTATAATTACCTTTTAAAATGGCAATGCCATCATAGGTAATAAAAAGCCCACTAACAGGAAACTTTTTTTTTAATTAAAAAATTTGCCAAATCTTTGAAATTGAATGCAGGGAAAAGAGCTTATATTTACCAAGGGAACTGTTGCCATGCAGGAATAAATTGTTCTTTAGTACACTTAAAGGTTTTAAGTCATACAGGTGAAACCATCAAGTGGTAACAGGTTGATGGGGCGGATAGCTCGACTAGTTTACAGACTAAAAATTCATTTGCTGGTCATTGTAAGTAAGTCTTCATAGTCTAACATTCACTCTGTATTTATTACATCTAAAGTTTTAGAGTTTAGATTTTATAGTTGTACTGATTGTTTTCAAGAAGAGGCTTTTCATACTTGAGTAATTGTTTAGGACATTGCTCTCACGTGATTTTTCCACCTACCTATCTGACCTCTCCTCAGTCTCCTTTCCTGGATCTTCATTCAGGTCACATCTTTAACAATGAATATCTCACAAGGCTCTGTCCTAGGTTCTCTTCTCCTCTCCTGCTATACTATCTCACTTGATGATCATTGATCCAGCTCCCATGGATTCAGTGATCTCTATGCTGAAGATTCTCAAATGTACTTACCTAGTTCTGACCTTTTTCCTAGCTTATGTTCTCACATCTCCAACTGCCTGATGGACATCTTGAACTTGAGGTACCATATACGTCTTAAACTCAACGTGCTCCAAAATGAATTCGTTATCTTTTCCCCAAAACCCTCCCATCTTCCCAGCTTCCCTATATTGTTAAGGTTACCATGATCCTTTCATTTCCCCAAGTTTGCAACCTAGGTGACATCCCTTATTCTTACTCCCTCTCACCTCACATGTCCAATGTGTTGCCAAGGCCTGTTAATTTTCCCTTCATAATATTTCTCAAACATGCCCCCTTCTCTCTTCTGATACTACCACCCTGGTACAGGCCCTCATCACCTCATGCCTAGTCTGTGTTGCAGCAGCCTCCTGCTGTGTCCCCATTCTACTCCATCCTCCATTCAGCTGTCGAAGTGATCTTCCTAAAGTACAGGTCTGAACATAATCCTCCACCCCACTCAATAAACTCCAGTGGCTATTTCTTTCACTTCTAGGATCAAATATAAAATTTCCTGTTTGGTGGTCAACCCCCCCTCCCCACTTTGCAATCCTCTTATACCTTAACTCCCTCTTCCCCCTACATATATACATTGATTCTTTGATCAGTGACTTGCTATTACTTGAACAAGACACTCCATACTGCAGGCATATTCACTGACTATCCTTCATACTTGGAATGCTCTCCCTCCTCATCCCTGCCCCCTAGCGTCCTTCAAGTTTCAGGTAAAATCCCACATTCTCCAAGAACCCTTTTCAAAATCTCCTTAATTCTAGTGCCTTCCCTTTGTTGATTACCTCCAATTTATCCTCTCTGTAGTTGGTTCTACATAGTTTTTTTACATGTTGTCTCCCCCATTAGACTGTGAGCTCCTTGAGAGCAAGGACTGTCTTTTCCTTTCTTTGTATCTCTAGCTTTCAGCATGTTCTTGGCAAGTAGTATGCGCTTAATAAATGTTTATTGACTGATTAACTAATTCACAGTTTCGAAGAATATTTGTGAATAAATTTTTTTTGCTAGCTTAACAGTTTTAAAAAGCCATTGTCATTGCTCTTTTTACCTGGACCCCCTTATACCTAGGGTATATGCAAAGAGTAAAATAGACATTGATTTACTACTCAGTTGGTATAGATTATTTGTCCCAAGTAAGTGACAGTTTTTATAGGCATATGATAATGTTACATAACTGTAAAATAAATAACCCTTGACTTGAGCACCCACTATAGAGTGAGTTATACATGATTGATTGCTTCAAACACTTCTATAAATTCATATTCTATTTTTATAGTAGCATGTCCATATATTACCTTATATCTTCAATTATAAAGAAAGACACATATTTCACTGCCTCAGAGATAATGAGTTCTGCTCAATTATTAACAACATTTTATTCCTTAATCAAATACCAGTAGTTTTAAAACTGGAATTTGACTTGCTTGGAATTTGGGGACGGTGGTGGTAGTATAAGTTTACTAGTAACTCTTAGTAATCTATAATTACTAGCTCTTTCTGAGCTACCAGAAATATAAAATGAACGTTCAGAAAAGATCAGAGTATTTTCGAAGCTTTGGGGTATTACAACCTGATGAACCTGTTAATTTTGCCACTAGGTAATCACATCTTTGACCAGTAGAAGCAACTGAACGTTTTTACCTTCTCCTTATTTTCCTAGAAAGATAGAAGCTGGAACAAACAGTATATTAGGTTTGGTTCCATGATAAACAGAGATCCTTCACAGACCTTGAGTAGTGTGCCTTTCTGACCATGTTTGCCTCATGTGTTTATTAGTGCAGAGCATAGCATGTTGTGGGCATTTAATGAATGCTTGTTCCTTTTCTCTGCCCTCTAAGAGTCTCCGCTCCCACACCCAAATCTTCAGTGGTATTCTCTTGCTTCTAAGATAAAATAGAGAATCTTCAATCTGGCATTAAATCCTTCCACAGTCTGCCTTTCCAGCCTTTTTTCATATTACTTCTTTTCATGTGCCCATTTTTAGTGGAACTGTCCTATTAGTTGTGCTCTCCCCTTCCCCCCTCACCCCCAACTAGATTTCATCTTTTGCACGTGCGGTTCTCCTTATCTGTAGTGTACTCTATTCATTACCTCCTCCTCACAGACTTCCTAGCTTTCTTCAAAGACAGTTGAAGTGCCAACTCCTTTAAAAGGCCATTGTGGATTTTGCCAGTTGTTGATGCCTCATATCCTGTATGTAGATATTGTGTATGTACATGTCTGTGAACATGTATACCTCAATAGAATGTAAGCTCCTTGGGGTGGGGTGTGTTTAGCTTTTTGTATTTGGAAATAGCTAAGTGGTACAGGGGTTAGAGAACTGGACTTGGAATCAAGAAGATCAGAGTTCAGATCCAGCCTTACATATGTAATAGCTTTGTAACTCTGAGTAAGTCACTTCAGCTTGTCTGTTTCTTTTTTTTATTATTATTTTTATTTTTATTTTTTTAGGCAATTGGGGTTAAGTGACTTGCCCAGGGTCACACAGCTAGTAAGTGGTTTGGTCTGAGGCTAGATTTGAACTCAGGTCCTCCTGACTTTAGGGCTGGCACTCTATCCACTGCGCCACCTAGCTGCCTCTCTGTTTTTTTATAAAATGGGGACAATAACAGCTACCTCCCAGCAATGTTTTGAGGATAAAATGAGATAGTATTTGTTAAGGTCTTTGAAAATCTTAAAGCACTATATAAGTGCTAGTATTGTTATTGTTTCATTATCATTATTATTATTTTCCCAATGCCTAGTGAGCACTCAACAAATACTTTTTGATTGTTCTGCTTTCTTTACTCTGTCACATAAATCTTCACATGTTGCTCCAAACACTTCACATTTGTTGTTTGTTATGGTATCATACTATTACATTATGTTCATATATCACAGTTTGATCAACTCTTCCCAAACAAGTTAATTTAATTCAACAGTCGTTTATTAAATACCTCTTATGTACCGGGAAACATACAGATAGTAGACAATGAGCATCTACTTTGTTGACTACAGTGTATATAGGATCTTTGTTTTTATAATTATTCTCCTTGGAGTATATCCCCAGCAGTGAAATCCCTGGATCAAAAGGCATGACTTTTCTTGCATGATTATAAATTGTTTTCTGAACATTTGGATGAATTTTCAACTTCAGTAATTGTGTATTAGTGTCTCCTTTCTTGTAGCCTCTCAGATAGGAACTATTTCTATATTTCATTATCTGACAATTTGAATATTTGTTTTTGGTTTAATTTACATTTTTCATAT